GCCTATCCCACATCATCCAGGGCCCAATATGGGATAGTGGTCACATGCCTGATCTGGTTTTCCTGTCAGAGCAGTGGCAATGTGATCTGGAATTGGGGGAGCTTTTAGCATTCTGCTTGTCAAGATCAGACCACACCCTGATTACCATTGGATTTCTCGGGCCACTACCTGCTGCAGGGAGGCAGGACCTATTAGATTGTCCCGCCCTTGGTGACTGATGGACCCTGATGGGTTTCAGAAGGAGCTGGGGCCTGTTCCTGCTGGTCTGCAGCAAGGCCCATCTGGGGCCCTGGTGGCCTCTTGGAATAAGAGGACTGCTAGGGCACTGGATCAGATTGTGCCTATGCAACCTCTCCCCTCCACTGGATCCCATCATTCTCCTGGTTCACAAAGGAATTGAGGGAAATGAAGCGAGAGATGTCTAGAGCACTGCTGGCCTCAGTGAGGGATGAACTTGACTGAACATGTTTTAGAGCCTCTATAAAGGCCTACCTCATGGCAGTAAGGATGACAAAGCAACAATACTTCTCCACTCTTGAGTCCATATATAGTTGTCCTGTGGCCTTGGTTCAGGTGACACATGCCCTCGTGGGTAGAGAGGGCTCAGGAAGTGGACAGGGTTCTTATGATTGTGAACTCAGCCACCTGCTCTCTAGATCCATGCCCCTCCTGGCTAACTAAAGCTGCCAGGGAGGTGTTGTATGGGTGGGCTCAAGCGGCAGTGAATTCCTTCCTGAGTGAGGGGGTTGTTCCTCCACCCCTTAAGGAGGCATTGATCCACCCCCTCCTCATGGAAACCATCACTGGATCCTGCCATACTGGACAATTTTCATCCAGTATCTAACCTCCCCTTTTTGGGGAAGATAACTGAGAAGGTGGTTGCGCAGCAGTTTCAGACAACTCTGCATGAAGTGGATTACCTGGACCCCTTTCAGTCAGGATTCAGGCCTGGATATGGGACAGAAACAGCATTGGTCGTACTTTTGAATGATCTTGGTGGGAGTGGGATGGAGGTTGTATGTCCATCCTTGCCCTGCTTGACTTCCCATCAGCCTTTGATACCATCGACCATGGAATCCTTCTGGATCGGCTCTGGGGATTGGGGGTGGGTGGCACTGTATTGTGCTGGTTCTCTTCCTTTCTCCAGAGTTGTTTCCAATCAATGGTGATTTGAGAGGAAAGATCCCGCTTTCAGTCCCTACTCTGTGGAGTAGGGGTTTAGTGCTCTCCTTTCTCCTATTTAACATCTACATGAAGCCATTAGGTGAAATCATCCGTTGTCATGGGGGTGAGGTATCATCAGTATTATCTTAGCATGCTGAACTTATTTTCCAATCTGATCTTCCATTCTGATGATGTACTGTTTGGCTTTTTTTCTTGTTTGTTAATTTTGTATCAAAGGTATTCAGTTATAACTGCAGCCATGCTGTACATTAGTTGGTTTGTTTCTTGCAGTGAGCTGGTGTTTATACTACAGTATTGGCATCTTTTAATACTTGTGTTATCTGTTTTTTTATAACAAGCTTCAATGCAGGCAACCTTATTCTGTTGTCTCTGTGCTGTTCTAGATGCTCAGTTATTCTTTGTTTCAATTCCTCTTGTTTTTTAGTTACAAGGCTTTGTTTTTTCCTGAGGAGAAGGCAGAGGAGAAGGTGTCTTGTTTGGGAATGAAAACAATTCAGTAGCTATGATGTCTTCCTCTACTCCCTCTGATTTGCCTCTACAATCTGAGCTACTTCTGGCAAAGCTTTGGTTTCTTTGCCCTGGATGGACTTTTGCAGTTCTTCCAATTCTACTTCTGTGAATACTTTATTTCGTATTATAAATTAACATTGATCTGCTAGCCTCTGTTCTGTTATTTCTGATTCTGGATGTTGCTCATTCCAGAACTGATACATTCTTTTCAGGTATCCTCTTCTCGTTGGACTTGATTTGTAATAGCAGATCATTATTTCTTTGTTTTCAGTCTTTGTATATATGCGACAGGTAAACAATTTTTCTTCCAGTAGTCCTGCAGCTGCCGGCCCTGGTTGCTCAGCCAACAGTCCTGAATCCTATAGCCCACTTGTCACCAGATGTTCAGGAACTAGAACACCTAGCATGGTCCTTGTTGACCCGGGCAACAACTGATTCGGTATAGGTTTCTGTAAATTATGTCTCACCATATCGTTTATGGGAGAGGGACTCTTTGTCTGGTTCCTCTGATGAGACCTGTCCAGTATGGCTGAACCTCTGGCACAGCTCTCATCCTCCTCAAAGAATACAAGCTCCACAACCACATCAAGATAGTGCCTCAATGTATTTATTATTATGGTCAGTTGCAGAGTCAGCCAGATGTTTAGACTGGATTTGGCATTTTTATTCACCTATCAAGTCCTTCCCAAG